ACCCCCCCCCCCCCCCCCCCAACCTGTGAGCTTGCTTCCGGTGAGTGGCTTTAGGCTTAAGGACCTTCTCGGGTACTGGTAAGCAGATGAGGATTAGACCTACAGACTTAAACATCTTCGAGACCGGAGATGCAGTACGAGAAGCACTCACTGGGATACATCCCCACCAACGAACAGAAACGGACCTCTGGAGTCTGGACAGAGCACTCCTTGCCGAGTGTGTGTCCAAAAAAGAAGAGGCTGGCCGGACTCCTGAAAATCACGACCTTCGCACCACTCTGTGTGTGAGTCCGCGTCCGCAGGGGGGGGGTGGGGGGCACCTTAGCCTTAGATTCAACCTCTCGAAGGGCGTACTGCGCAGTCGTGAGGGCTGCTGAAGCGAAGAAATGATTGTGACCAATTTATAGTCAGGGTTTGGTGAACTTGGAGGGTACTGAAGCGAAGAAATTATGACCAATTTATAGTGATGGTGTGGTAGGCCTAGAAGCTGGCCGGATTACTCTTCGGCGGAGGGAGATATCCCCCTTGTTTGAAATGAACCACAGAATTCTACACTAAGTGTAGAATTCTGTGAAATGAACACAAATGTTCATAATAATACCCCCATTCGATTCGTCTCGCCTCCCTGCCACTGTTCGCGTTTTTTTTTAACTTGTATTTTCTAAGTCAGTGTGGCCTTCATTCTTTTTCAAGAGCGTCATAACATAACAAACGTAATGTCTCATAACCTTCTGTTTCAATCAATTCCTCCATTGAATGTAGAATCTAGCCCGTATTAATTCCGTAGGGTGGTTAATGTAAAATTTATTGAAAATAGTCTGCCCATAGATTTTTCTGACCTTCTACATATTGTACTTGTTGCCATGGTGCCATCTTTTCCGTATAAAGTATCTTCAAGGAGAAGTAACCGAGGAAAAAGCGGTTTTTGTTAAGGAATACGAAGAGTTATGAAACCTGCTGGAGCTTTTATCTTTATTCAGTGAGGCAGGGGTGTCATCATCTTTACTAGCTTAGGTTCATTCTGTTGATAGAAACAGGATCGAATAAGATTGTATCCATTCCTTTCTGAAAAGAATTCTCCTCATTGTCTTTCCATTGGTGTGTAAAAAAAAGCATGTCTAATTTCTTTCCTTCATTATTCTATTTTCGACACCAGCCATTTTGAAATTCACTTGGCGTGTTTTTAGTGTCTTCTCACGAGGGAGTACGTATTGCTTGCTGTTTTAGCCCTAGACAAAAACGTATAACCATTGGCCTTAACCACGGTTTGCAATTATCTTTATCAGCGTAACACAGTCCCCCCAACCGTTTTTTTTTGGTTCTCTGCTATTACGAAATAATTAATAGACTAAAAAATATAACTCGTAACGACCGATTCTTTTGCTGCAAGTACTAAGTTACTCGTAAGGCTACTTGAAGCAGGACCATCTAATGGTGGGTGGTGATAGCAGATTACAGTACACTAGGCTAGACGAGACGTAGTGTCTGTCGTTGGCGTTGATAGTGATAGATTTAGCAGTTTGTGCGTGCGTGTGACTACTGTGTGACTAAAGACCTTGGTCGAGTTTTGCAAGGCTAGCAATAAATGCATAACCTGACATGACCTGACCTGGGAGTTCAAAGGCCATGGCCTCATGTATCGGATGTAAAATTGTGCGACGGTAATCGTTTCGTTTTGCTTGTCTCATCATTTATCATTGGGAAACAAGACGTTTTCCTACGGATAAAAATACAGAGGAAAATTGGATTTGGGGTCCGTGTGTGCTCAAAAAAGAACTTTTTAAGCCAAGATTTTCAAGTATGCACATGTGTTTCTCACTTAAAGTTGAAAATACGAGTCGCCAAATCGAAAGTGTCAATGTACTCGAATACACGTTTGTCTGACACATCTCGGTCGCATTGTGTCTGAGTGGTCGGCTGGGCTGCTACGAGGGCACCGACTTCTAAGGTCTGAACTGGGTCATCTGTTTCCGAAACACATTTTACTTTTCTCAACTGAGTACTGACTCCTGAGTTACTGAGTTATATATTGCAGGAGGATGGCGACTGAAAGTGAGCGTTACCAACTCTCCAGCGGAAGGTCGATGCCTATTATTGGCTTGGGGACGTATGCCCCACTCCAGGTGAGCTCCAACAAATTTCCGAACTTCTCTGTTATGAGTGTGTGTGTGTGTCAAATGAACATGATGTCCCTGGCATCAATTCGACTTTGCGGCTGGCCGAAAACAGCTGATTGAAACACTTACCTAATGTTATTTTGCACTTCACCGGCTCACCGGTGCATCAAAAAGCTTCAGCCTTTTCCAAAAATTGAACCCTGCAGGGGCGGCTGGTGGTTTGTAGAACTGACCGGCTTTATTAGTTCCCATCGATACCCCTCTTCAAAACTTCAACCCAACAATTTAAGACAGACATTTAATTTTATACCTACCGGTACACCTTTGGTTTTGTGTGTGTGTCAGTGTGAGAGAGAGAAATAGAGATAGAAAGAGATTGAGAGTGGGTGAAAAAGAGAGAAGAGAGAGGGGGGGGGGTGTCAACGTATGAAAAGGTTTTAGTAGAAGAAAATCCACACTACAAACTTCAAAACATTTGAAGCCACTGAAATGTGAATAGAAACTGATTTGATCAACTCAACCCGCAACAAAAAATACTTCAAAGGTGTACTAGAAAACAAATTGAAAGGTGAGAAACAACCACCTCCTAGCCCTGGCTTCTTGTACTACTAGTAGTAGTACTACACCCAAAGACTTACTTTTCACACACCCAGATATAGTCTCGACGTGCACTTGTAAAGTAAAAATCCGAAACCTGTGTGACGACAAAATGTCAATTGATACCTTACCAATGACGCTGCCCCATGCAGATGAAGTCTAGAATCAGAATAAATAATAAT